AATAACCAATTTATGGTGGTAAAATACACCATTAATATTTGGCTATAATAACCAATTTATGGTGGTAAAATACACCATTAATATTTGGCTATAATGACCAATTCATGGTAGTTTCAACCACATCATAATAGATTATTTCAACCTATTTAGAATTGTTGTACCATGGGAGGATCTGTGGTAATCAATTTAAAATGGTTGAGCTGTTTCGGTTCCAACCATTGTTAATTGGTTAAAAGCAATTGATGGGTTGCAAGCACTCCAAAGAGAGTCAAAAGACAAAACATGGCGACCATTGTGGTGCCGTTAACAATGGGTGCTAATAAGAAATCTTTTGTTAAATGGCACCAACATGGCCGCGATGACGTAACGTGCAATCGAAGAATTGGTCGAATGGTTAAATTAACAATAATCAAAAAATTTAATCCAAATATAGCTTCTAACTCGTCCGAGACTTGAAAAGAAAGAGACCAAGATTATTTGCTATCGTGGTTTTGATTCCAGGTTAATCACAAAAACGACGAATCAGAACCCAAGGAACGCTTCTTTGTTGACATAAGTACAGCAGAAGCTAAACAGATAAACTTTCAAAAGTCCAAGGTTCACGATAATTCCCGCGTGTTGCTTTTTAGAGCGAATCTGAATAATTACAAGTGCTTCACTGTTGGCACAAAGAAAACGCTAAACGCCATCGTATTTAGAGCATCTCTCTTATGATAAGTGATTTGGTTTTCGAACAGGAAAATTACCATGGATCAACGTATTCAACATGAGAAGCCACTGGATTTTCCAGCGAAGTATTCTTTACAAAGTCACCTCCGACCGTTGACTAAGAACACCTGAGTAACAAATCTTGATTAAATCGAAACATTAAATCGGAGTCGAAATAAGAATGTTTTAACCAATTTATTTTGATTCTTTTGAACTGTTGATCTTGCCGTGAAAATATCAACCATTTTATTAACGGCCATATTAACCAATAATAATGAGTATATATATAACCATTTTATTTTGGTATAGTTTTTCATATTTGCAATGGTCAAAAATACAATCGAATTATAATTGGTAGTTCCAACCAATTTGAAATGGTTATAACCATTAATATTGGTTGTTTCAACCAATCCATTTCTACAGTGTGTACCTTCACATGACTTTCCATCTGACTGAAGAGCCTTCCCTTTAGAACAAAAGCACTGGTAACTTCCCACTAAGTTCGTACAGTTCTCCTCACACGTGCCTTCCACTTGACACTCATCGATGTCCGCGCACGTCCGCCGATCATCAGTCAACTTGAACCCCTTTGGGCACAAGCACTGATAGCCACCCCGAGTGTTGCTGCATTTGTATCCACAAATATTGTCTTGAAGACACTCGTTGATATCCTCACAAGAATGGTTGTCTGGTTTCAGGGCGAATCCTTCGAAACAACTACAGCTATAGGAACCAGTCAGATTGGTGCATTTGTGTTGGCACTTGTTGTTGCTTTTACACTCATCGATATCACTACTACACGTTCGGTTGTCTGGATTTAGAAAAAGGCCCGCTGGACATGCGCACTCGTAGCTTCCTGGGGAGTTCACGCATGCGTATTCACACAGTTCTTTGGGATTTGTGGAACATTCGTCGATGTCACGACATTTTTTGTTGTCCTTTTCTAACTCATACCCAGGCAAACAAGAGCATTTATGACTTCCGTTTGTGTTGGTGCAGATTTGTTCACAGTCATTAGAAATCTGACACTCCTTAACGCCTTCACATGTCAAGCCGTCATTGGACAGGCGGTAACCTTGGTAACAAGAACAGCTATAGCTACCGTTAGTATTCACACACAGTTGGCTACAGTTGCCTTTGTCCAATAAGCATTCATCTATATCAAGGCACGTGACATTGTCAGGCTGGAGTTGGTAGCCATGGTGACAAGAGCAGCTATAGCCTCCAACGGTGTTGTTGCAGATGTGAGTACATTTGGAGTCGATTTCGCACTCATTGACGTCAAGACACGTGACGTTGTCGTTGCTAAGGTGATAGCCAATTTCACAGTCACACTCTAAGCTTCCATTAATTTTTCGGCACGTTTGCTGGCAGCCGCCGTTGTTAGTTTCACAATCGTTTTTGTCCTGGCAGGTTTTTCCGTCCGGGTTGAGTTTATATCCCGCCCGGCACGAGCAATGATATGAAGCTTCCATGTTGACGCATTCTTGTTCGCAGCCGCCATTAGACGTGGCGCACTCATTAGTATCGACGCACTTGGTTGAGCTCCAATGGAGTCCAGCAGGACAGTCGCACCGGAAGGACCCTGGCACGTTGACACATTGTTGACTTGAATCACATGGCTGGTACTCGGCGCATTCGTCTATATCATTACATCTTAAGGGGTCGCTAGATTCTTTTTTATATCCATCTTTACATATACAGTTGAAACTGCCCTCAGTGTTAGCACATTCTGCGTTCTTACATCCTCCTTGATTAGGAGAGTCACATTCATTGATATCAACACAACCTTTGTTATCATTGTCCAGGCGATACCCACTCGGACACGTACAGCGGTAGCTTCCTGGAGTATTGACACACGCGTGTTTACAGCCACCAGAATTCCTAGCGCACTCGTTGATGTCATCACATGCTAATTTACTAGCGTTGAATGTGTAGCCGCTGGAGCATGTACACTGCTGGCACTTGCAGTCATTCGTGGTGCAAAACGTCTGACAGTTGCCATTGGTAATAGTACAGTTGTCGTTTTCACATGGTAAAGATTCGAGTTGGTTTGACTGACACCGACAAACAAAGCCTTTTGACATTTCTTTCCCCTCGAGACACAGAGATTGTTTGACTGAACATGACTGTAGTTCTGATAAAAAAAGACAAACATGTAGACTGAGATATTCCTTTATATCCAGTTATCTAATGAATCGTGTATCATTTTATAACCTGATTACGATTTTGAGACGACAATACCACGAAATATATTGACGGCGTTGGAAGAAAATATATTCGGTATTTCGCGACTCCGTCCAATACCAAATATATTTTCTTCCAACGCCGTCAATATTTCAAGGTATTGTCGTCTCAAAATCGTAGTCAGTTTTGTATCGCGATTCTAAAGAATTTAACATACACAAAAAAAGGAAAAAAAACTGACCGATTTTCGTTGATTAAAAGCGAAATTCTCCTTACGGGCGCGCGCTATAGCGCAATCACGCGCGTTAGCCAATCGGAAACCTTACTTTTGAAACGACAATACCTCAAAATATTGTAGTCTCAAAAATATAAGAGACTGTTTAATGAATCGCGATACCATCTATTATTCATTGCTATACATTTAACCATCCCATCCTTCCATCCATTACATTCCATCCTTCCATCCATTACATCCCATCCTTCCATTCATCTATTCCTTTATATTAAGCATCTATCCATCCATCCATCCGCCCATTCTACCATCCATCCATCCATCCATCCATCCATCCATCCCTCCTTCCCTCCCTCCCCTCACACATTCATCCAT